CTCTAGACTCTAGAAACAAATCTAGAGTTGGCGCCTTGCTCCACTACTCTCGAAATGTGCTAAACGAGAGTGAATCTTCCGCTAGAACATGGAAACATAAACCGCCATGTTTTTTTTGGCGTTTGTGCACGTCGCGAGTAGTGGAGCGATGCCCTTGCTCTAGAGTTGACGGATTCTGGAGTGGCATGAATTTGGAGTCATCGCTCCACTAACTCTAGAAGACCCAACTTTAGAAAGAAAAGAGAAGCACTTTTTTTTCCCTTGTTTTTGGAAAAAGAAGACAAGACCAGCCTCAAGCCGACGAAGCCATCATGTTAGCAGTGCTTGTCTAGGGATGACTCTAGATTTTCAAGACTGCACCAAGGGTCCTCGTAAGGACTCTAGAAAATCTAGAGTTAGCAGTGCTTGTCTAGGGCTGACTCTAGATTTTCAAGGCAGGCACTCTAGATCGTTCTTGAGTGCACTTCCATGGGTCCGTCTGACACCTCTAGAAAACTGTTCTCTTGAGTGGATTTCCAGAGTTAGGGCCTCGATCCAAACCACTTGAAGACCCTTGAGTTTCAGGTGAAAACTGTTCTCTTCAGTAGATTTCTAGAGTTAGGGCCTCGATCCACACCGCTTGAAGACCCGAGTTTCAAGTGCACCCTAAAAGATAAATTGTGATTAATTTACACTCTATTTATGGTTCCATGTGCACTTTTGGACACGCTTGAACAGCCTGCACTTGAAACAGAACCTCATGGCGTGACCAATCCTGGACCAGAATCGCCTGCCGGGCAAAAAAAACAGAACAAAAAAAAGCTCCACTTTTCACGCCCTTGCCAGTGTGTCGCCCTTGAGCTCAAGGTAACTCCCACAGCATCCTTGAGTTCAAGTGCTATTTTGCCCCAGCCGCCCTTGAGTTTCAAGGGCCAGCCCTTCAAACAGAAAATGTGAAAAAATTGGGGTACGTCAGCATGGAGGGGTGGAAAGATGAGTTTCCGTGTCACCCTTGAGTTCAAGTGGTATGGAATGAGCCCCTTAGTGGAGCGACACCGCACTCTAGATCTTTTCTAGAGTAAATTCTGACAGCCCTAGACTTCATTTTCGGTGGACAAGTTCTAGAGTTCCACACTCTAGAATTTCCTAGAGTATTGGAGCAAGACCCAGGCTTACTGGAGATGCAGAAGGTTTGGCCTCTGAGTTGTTGCCACAGAGATGACAATTGAGTGCTTGAGAGCACCAGGAGGTCCCATCTTTTCAGTCGCATTGTACATATATCTGGGTGGAAAAGATGACCGTGTGCGTTCGGACCTATACGATTTTTCTCTCCTGTACTGTGTATAGTGTTGTCGCTTTGAGAACCATTTGGAGCAGTTTTTTTTTTTTTTTGGGAAATTTGGAGCACTTGCCCAACCATAGAGGTTTTGTCCTACAGACAGACTGACAGACAGATAGACAGATAGACAGATAGACAGAGCAGAAAGCCAGAGAATTGAAACTGAGCGACAGAGACAGGAAGGCAGTCAAGAAGGAAGGCAGGCAGAGACTGTTCTTTTTTTTTTTTTTTTTTTTTTTTTTGGTAAATTAGTCCATTTCTCTGTTTATGCGTGTCATACTGGCAGGACATCGCCCGACACTGGCACAAGCATCCACCTTTGCAGACAACCTCTATAGACTGGGCAGACGGACAATCCTGTGGGCACTCTGGTGGCAGCGCTGCACTTTGGCACTGGAAGGGGTAAGAGTGGAGGGCCCCGAGCTGACAGGGCAGATAAAAGAGCTCATTGAACTTGAGTTAAAGCGAAGGTGGAACGAGCTCAAACCCCAACTAGATATCTTCCAAACTGATCGAGACGTCAAGCGGCCGATCACAAGCTTTTGCACGGAGTGGCTGGGAGGACACCGGGGGGGCTGGATAGCACGGGTTGAGTGGGGAGGAGACCAGACCGCGCCATTAGGACAGGGACCTCCTAGGGACTATCGTCTCGTCTTCAACGATTGGACCAACATTGAGCCCACTTTCCGATGAGGCCCCCGTCTGATTTCCCAGATCCTTTCCCGCCCCATCCTCTCTCCCTGATGGAAATCCTAGATTGACTACGAACCTGTCCCCCCTGGTGCCCCCTGGGGCGGCGACAGCGGTCACACGAGGAGGCTACGTTCTTCCCAAGACGGCCGAAGGCCTGGAACTAGGAGGGCAAGGTGAAGTTCGACGCCCGACAGTAGGGTGAAGAGGTTCCTGAAAAAGGGGATATTGGTGTGGTCTTAGTAGGTTGTAGACTCTATAGGCTGAAGTGTTCTCAGCAGCACTTGGCTCAAATTTGCTCTCAATCTGTCTTCAGCCGAAGTCAGATGATGGCTCCGGTGCGTAAATAAGTGTATATTATCCCATGGGGCGCTGGGCCCGATTCCCAGCACGTGCTCGATTCTTGTGATCGACTCATGTGATGCTTTCCCTGCATTGACTTGCGTAGCAACCTGCAGTGAGGTTGAACATTGTGTGGTGGCTGCGTCGCCTGTGGTTGAGTGTGTGTGTGACTGGGTACACCGGGACGTGG